TTCTTCTTCTTCTTCTTCTTCTTCTTCTTCTTCTTCTTCTTCTTCTTTTTAAATTTTTTTAGTGTTTATTTATTTTTGAGAGAGAGAGAGAGAGACAGAGCATGAGCAGGGAAGGGGCAGAGAGAGAGGGAGACACAGAATCTGAAGCGGGTTCTGGGCTCTGAGCTGTCAGCACAGAACCTGACTCAAGGCTCGAACTCGTAAACCACGAGATCATGACCTGAACCAAAGTTGGACGCTTAACCGACTGAGCCACCTAGGTACCCTCTTTTTTCTTTTTTTTTAATGAAAGTTTTTTTTTTTTTTAAAGTTTATTTATTTGAGACAGAGAGAGAGAGAGCGCGCGCGCGCACCAGCAGGGGAGAGGCAGAGAGAGAGAATCCCAAGCAGGCTCTGTACTGTTGCTGCAGAGCCTGATGTGAGGGTTGATCCCACGAACCGTGAAATTGTGACCTGAGCTGAAACCAAGAGTTGAATGCTTAACTGACTGAGCCACTCAGGGGCCCCTAGATATTTCTTCTTCTTCTTCCTCTTCTTTTTTTTAATTTTTTTTTACTGTTTATTTATTTTTGAGACAGAGAGACAGAGATAGAGCATGAGCAGGGAAGGGGCAGAGAGAGAGGGAGACACAGAATCCGAAGCAGGCTCTGGGCTCTGAGCTGTCAGCACAGAGCCCGATGCAGGGCTTGAACTCACGAGCTGTGAGATCATGACCGGAGCCAAAGACTGAGCCACCCAGGTGCCCCTAGATATTTCTAATGTAAAGGCACTGCCCACTCACCGAGCTGGACGCCAGTGGGCCAGGCGCCCCGAGGGCTGTCCTTACCTAATGTGTCCAGAGGTGCCGCAGGGGCTTGCCTTGGCCGTGTGTGCAGGTTCGAAGCCTGACCCGCTCCAGTTAGGGCCGGGGAGAATGGAGGGTGGGAGGCCAGGGTGCGAGCGATGGCGACAAGGCCGTGTGTCCCGGAGGGGAAGCTCAGATAATAAAGTCATGAGGCGAAACCATTTTGAAAGATTCAGTGCGAGGCTGGGCCATGCCGGTGAGCGTCTGAGGGGAGTAGAGACAAGGACCCTTGTCATACCGAAATAGGAGTCCTGGAGAACAGACTAGACTGGGTGGAATCACTAGGGAGCCGCACTGGCAATGGGTGAGCCAGGCTGCAGTGGACTTAGCTGCCCAGTACTGGCAACAGCCGTTCGACGTATTCAACACACAGTTACTGGCTCCAAAGCAGGTGCCTCCAGATGCTTGGGATCTAGCGTTGAACCATCGAGGTCAAGGTCCTGCAGCTTTAGCACACGCCCTTAGATTTACGTGTTTTGGTGACAAAAACGTAAGTGTGTACCTCGAGCTAACCTGACTGGAAATACAGGTTTGGGGACAGGGACCCCCCCCCCTGAGAACCTTCCACACCTCCGACACCTGGAGTGCCAAAAGCAGCCTGTGGATTTCAGCTCTGCCTTCAGGTACCCAGTTTACCTGAAAGCGAACTTACAAAGGATATAGTTAAGTGCGTTAAAAAAAGGGGGTGGGGGGGCGCCTGGGTGGCGCAGTCGGTTAAGCGTCCGACTTCAGCCAGGTCACGATCTCGCGGTCGTCCGTGAGTTCGAGCCCCGCGTCGGGCTCTGGGCTGATGGCTCGGAGCCTGGAGCCTGTTTCCGATTCTGTGTCTCCCTCTCTCTCTGCTCCTCCCCCGTTCATGCTCTGTCTCTCTCTGTCCCAAAAATAAATAAACGTTGAAAAAAAAATTAAAAAAAAAAAAAAAAAGGGGGTGGGGCAATGGCATGTTGACCATCCTGTTTTGGAAGCATAAGAAGATCGGGAGTAGAGTGGACTGTCCCCACTGAGGTGGACTGGGCTGGGATCTGGGGGACAAGGAGCCGTGGAGATCGAAGGCCAGGCTCTGGGGTGAAAGGGTCCCCGTGGCCCCTGGAGGGGAGGCTGTGGGGACAAGCAGGCAGGTGCCAGACTGTGACTCTTGTCGGCCCAGGTTCCGGTGACATTTGTCGACATCGCTGTCTACTTCTCTGAGGATGAGTGGAAGAACTTGGACGAGTGGCAGAAGGAGCTTTACAACAACCTTGTCAAGGAGAACTACAAAACCCTGGTGTCCCTGGGTAAGAGCGCCCTCCCTCCTCTGGGGCAGGCAGCGTGTGCCGAGGGCAGTGAAACGCTTCCCAACTCACGTTCACACCACCCAGGCAAGGTGTTCGTGTTTATCCCTCAGGGAAATGCAAGAAACTCTGTGGTTATAATGCCCTAAAGATAGAATGATTCTAACAACACGATGGTTGAAAGCCCAGTTACAGGAACTGCCACTATAGCACTCAGCTCGGGGCTGCTTAGTTCTGGAATGTAGCCAAACCGCATCACTGGCACCTGACTACATGCCTCATCCTAATAGCCTTGGACGAGCCACGGTCTGTCTGCTGCTGGCTTTTAGAGTCCAGCTGTTTCTACACCAGAACCTGGGAATCCGTTCGCTGGTTCTCAAGATTCCTCATAAGAGATTAGCTCGTATACGTGATGGCCACCGCCTCGAGGGGCCCTCTGGTGGGGAGGGCATCTGGAGTGAGGGAGACTTCTGCCAGCGCCCTTGATCGGGATCCACTGGTCAACTTCGCTGTGTCCTTCCTTCCCTTCCAACTCATTCTAGACGCGGAGGGCGCGGTGCCCAAGCCGGATGCGCCATCCCAGGCGGAGCCCAGGGAAGAGCCTTGCGTGTGGGAGCAGCGTGACCCAGAAGATCGAGAAATCTTAATGGATCCAGACACAGGTGATGACAGCTGAAAAAAAGCCCCGGGCCAAGGTCAGGGCAGGAGAGAAGCCTCACCATCCTTGCTTTAGTTCAAGACGGGCTTCCCTTGAGTCGTTCTTGGGGCCGGTTCTGCCACCACGGAAATAATGGCAGTCACTTACAGGAAGAGGCTTCTGGGCCCAAGGAGCACCGAGCTTGTCTGTTGGGTCAGAGCCAGGCAGCTGTGGAGGCCCAGGTGAGCTGGGCAGAGAGAAGAGAGGAGCAGGCTCGCAGCCTCCCAGGCCTGACCTCCGCCTGCAGGGAGAGGCTGGAGACCTGGGAGCAGCCGGACCTAGCCCCGGGGCAGATGGGGAGCCCGCATGGATACAGGGTTTTGCTGGGGCCTCACCACAGGCAGATTCACACTTCACGCCTTCCTCACTGCCTTCCTTACTCAAGAGGGGATGTGTGGTCCCCAGGAGATCTAGTTCCTGACATTATGAGTAGGGGAGGAGGTGTGGGGACAGAGGATCTGAAGCAGGCTCAACACTGATAGCACAGAGCCCAACTCGGGACTCGAACTCAGCCATGAGACCGTGACCTGAGCCGAAGTTGGACGCTTAACTGACTAAGCCGCCCAGGCGCCCCTGAACTCTGTCCTTTTTAAGGAAGCTCCCTTAGAAGGTAGTGACCCCTCCTTGCCAGTCTGTTCTCTTCATGTGCCATAAAGTCACTCTTTTATGTATGTATTTATTTATTTTAATTTTTTAAGTTTATTTATTTTTGAGAGAGAGAGAGAGACAGAGTGTGAGCAGGGGAGGGACAGAGAGAGACAGAGACACAGAATCCAAATGAGGCTCCAGGCTCTGAGCTGGCAGCACAGAGCCCGACGCAGGGCTCGAACTCACTAACTGCGAGATCATGACCTGAGCCGAAGTCGGATGCTCAACCAACTGAGCCGCCCAGGCGCCCCTAAAGTCACTCTTATAAAGTGTGTAATTCAGTGGTTCACACAGCTGTGTGACCGTCACCACTGTCAAGTTCCAGAACATTTTCCTCACGGGAGACCCCGGACCCATGAGCAGTCACTCCTACTTCCCCCGCCAAGCCCCCGGCCCCCAGCCACCGGCTACCACTGATCAAGTCTCTGTCTCTGGACAGTTCATCCGAGCGGCCCCTTCCCTGCCTTCCAGCGCTGCAGGCGTTCACATTTCAGTCCGGTACATCAGCAGTCTCCCCGAGTTCTCATCCATCCCTGTGCGGGAGCTAGAGCCGTGATCGCTATGTCCACATTGTGGGGGGAACGAGCAGGCCAAGAGAGAGGTTGGGTGACTCGCCTGCTGGGCTGCAGGCAGTGTTGAACCCAGTCCCTCATCTAATCTGTCCCCCTCCACCCAAGCCGCCCGCTGCCGGGGCTGGTACATCACGCCATGGAACATCATCAGAAGGACCTGGCGCGTGTGTGTGTGTGTATCTGGCCACCTCTTTCTGACTGGGGTGAAAAGTGAAAATCAGTGACTCCTACACGGAGGTCAAACTTCTGACCTGGTCCTGATTAGCACCAAACCCAGCCTGGGCTGTTTCTGGAACTCTCTCCCGGCCTTATTACACCTCATCTTGTGGCCAGGCCTACCCCTTTGTCCTGAATACTGATTGTTTCTCTGCTCCCAGGACCTTCTGCTTCTCGGGGTCCCCTGCAGTTGCCCACCAGGAACCCGAAGCCCCCGTGTCCTTCCCTCACAAGTGCCGTCAGCCGTGCTCCTGACCCCAAGAACATCCGGGTGATGTTGTTCAGAAAGGACACCAAAATGACATGATTCCCTCTCCCCAGGAGCGGAGCCCCTGGTGCCTGCACAGGATTCGTCCTCTCAGGTAAAGCGGGAGGAAGCCCTATGTGTCCGGGGCCAGCGGGGCCTGGAGGAAAGAGCCGTCCCCACGGAGTCTATTACTGGTGAGTGAGTCCAGGAGCTGCCCAAGCCAGGGAGGGAGAGGAAGGGCCCGGCATGGTCTGACGGCCCCCAGCATTGTCCATTGTGTGTGCCAGGCCAGAGGCCAGAGCTGGAAATGGAGAAGTTGGACCTCGGGCGGGCAGAGAGACAGGGTTTCCTGAAGGGGCACGAACATGGCTCCGGCAATCTGCCGCCCATCCGGGCTTAGCTTGTCCTGTTTCTTGTCTTTTTTGTATCAGTTTTCAACTATTTTAACTATTCCCGAGAACCCACAAGGTGAGTGTGGGTGTGTGTCCGGGTGTGGAGAGAGAGAGACAGACTGATTGATTTTAAGGACTTGGCTTCAATGATTGTGGAGGCTGCCGTGTCCAGTCTGCTGGCCGGATCCCCTCTTCCTTTGGGGTTGCTCAGTCTTTTTCTATGAAAGCCTTCAGCTGTTGGCATGAGGCTCACCCACGTTGTGGAAGGCAGTCCATTTGACTCAAGGGTTCCTGATTTAAATACCAATCTCTGAAGAAAAAAAAAAAATACATTTACAGAAATATCTAGAATGACGTCTGGCCAACTATGTGGGTTCCATAGCCTAGCTGTCACAAAATTACCCATCACAGGATCTCGTAACATACTATAGCTCATTACTTATCCAGAGGTTAGAGTTCCACAAACCTCAGCCCCCACTTAGTCAGAGCCTCACGCCCACAGGTAAGGGATCACATCATCTGAGTGGGGGAAAGCCTGTTCCCTTTCCATCAGGCATGCTCCCAGACGGCATCACAGTATTAGTATCTTCAAAGAGAGCTTTGAGAGATAAGAAGGCAAGAAAGAGTAAATGAGGTTGAGCAGACTGCAGAAGAGAGAGCATACATCTTAGAAAAAATCCCAATAAAATGGTGAATCTAAAAGGCTCATGGAAGGCCACATTTTCCTGGAAAATCCCCTCGCGAGGAATACCTCTGGCCACGGTGGAGCTTTGGGCTCAAATGTGACTCTTACTCTAACGACTGAAGTTCCCGAAGCACAGAAAGACTCTCTCTCGAAGTCACCGGTAATGATGCTCGCCCCACAGTATCCACTCATCTGCCACAAAAGCTCCATTAAATGGGGACAAGCTGACTTAAACCTTTAATTAATTAGTGTGATTCAATTATGCCTGAATTTTAGGGAAAAGAGATCGTTGCAGGATCAGAGCACAGACTTGCAGGCCCCCTCGTGTCCCCTGAGGCCTTTGTTGCTGTATCCCCACAGACTCACCAGCCTCCGCCCAGGACCTCTTGTCCCGGATTAAACAGGAGGAGCACCCGTGCGTATGGGATCAGCAGGATCTGGCAGAGAGAGATATTCCAACGGACCCCAATTCAGGTAAGCAAGATACCAGGATGAATGTCAAGGACACGGAGACTCTCTCTGAGTTTTGTAACTGCTGGGAAGTCAGTCTGATCACTTCTGGTTAAAGGCCAGTGAAAGGCTCAGGGGATAGAATACAGCGTGTCCCTCAGTTAGCAACTTCATACAGATTTTGGAATCTAACCATTCGTAAAGTACAGAGGGCTTTTCTAAAAGAATCATTACATTGACAGTTTATTGCGTCAACGTAAGTGACGCGACAGTTATTTCAGCAATGACAATTTTTGAGCAATAAATATAACCAGAAAGACTTTTAGAACTGGTGTATATTTCTGTGACAGAATGAAAGTAATTTACGTTTTTTGGAATTTTTCATGAGCGGACGCTAGTTAAATCTCTTCTGAGAAACTTCTGGGTACCGTCCACGCATACAGAACAGTGAAGTTGCACCTGTCTGGGACCCGCGTGTGTGTGTGTGTGTGTGTGTGTGTGTGCGCGCGCGCGCATGTGTGTATGTGTTTTCACGTGTGCTTGTAGAGCTGGAGAAGTCCCGTGTCCTCATATTTGGTAGCGATGACCCCAGGGTCTCAACTGACCCCACACACCAGGAAGACAAGATCAGACATAAAAGCTAGCATTCCTGGGGCGCCTGGGTGACTCAGTTGAGCATCTGACTTCGGCTCAGGTCATGATCATACGGTTCGTGAGTTCAAGCCCCGCATCAGGCTCTGTGCTGATAGCTCGGAGCCTAGAGCCTGCTTTGGATTCTGTGTCTCCTTCTCTCTGCCCCTCCCCTGCTTGTTCTCTCTCCCTCTCTCTCAAAAATAAAATAAACATTAGAAAAATTTAAAAAGCTAGCATTCCTTGTTTCAACTTTAGAACTTAAAAATTTTTTTTGGTTTAATGTTTATTATTTTTGAGAGAGAGAGACAGAGACAGAGAGAGGGAGCATAAAGAAGGGAACAGAGGATCCAAAGCAGGCTCCATGCTGATAGCAGAGAGCCCAATGCGGGTCTCAAACCCGGGAACCGAGAGATCATGACCTGAGCTGAAGTCAGACGCTTAACCAACTGAGCCACCCACGCGCCCCTGCCATTGCTGGTTCTTAAGTCCTATTACTCATACCCCGGTCCCATGGGCCGTCAGACACCAGACCTGCCTCTGGCCTCTTGTGGACCCGCAGGCAGACAGATTGGAAGATGCAGGTTCTCATCTGGGTTCTGCAGCTGCACAGACTTTGGGCGAAGCCTCCTCCTCCGTGGCCAGCTCAATACCTCGAGCACAAGCGAGATCCCATCCGTGAGGGTGCTTGGGAGGGTGAGGAGGCCAGGAAATGAGACAAAGATGCCCCACTGCCACGTGCCCTGTGAGCCGGGGCGGCGGGCCTTGCATGTGAGGGTTTTCTAACCCTTGATGGGCTGCTCAGTGGGAATGAACAGAATCTCAGGCTGCCTTCTTTCCACGAACAGAGTCTCTGATCTCAGCACATGACATTCTGTCGTGGATCAAACAGGAGGAGCAGCCATACCCGTGGGGCCCACGTGACTCCATGGAAGGAGAGCTCGGATTAGACTCTGGCCCCAGTGAGTAACGCGTCCCCTGGGGCCCCTGGGTATGTCGTCCACAGGGCTGGTTGCTTGCCTCGGCCTACCCCCTGACAGAGTGATGTTCTGTATCAAAGCACTGTCTCCTTTCCTCTTGGAAGACGGCGGGCATGTTTGTGTCCTTGTGCTGTCCTCTTCTTTTTTTTTAATGTTTATTTATTTTTGAGAGAGAGAGAGACACACACAGAGCACGAGTGGGGGAGGAGCAGAGAGAGGGAGACAGAATCCACAGCAGGCTCCAGGCTCTGAAGTGTCAGCACAGAGCCCAACGTGGGGCTCGAACCCACAAACTGTGAGATCATGACCTGAGCCGAAGTCGGCCGCTCAACCCACTGAGCGCCCCTCCTAGCACTGTCTTAATAAGGCACCACAAACGGGGTGGCTTAGAACAACAGAAAGGTATTGTCTCTCCGTTCCGGAGGCCAGAAGTCTGAAATCAAGGGGTCGGCAGGGTCATGCCCTTTCTGAAAACCTCCTAGCTTCTGGTGTTTGTGGCAGCGTTTAGCATTCCTTGGGCTTGTAGATGCATGGCTCCACCTCTGCCTTTACCCTCACGTGGTGTTCTCCCTGCGTGTCGGTGTCCTCTCCTGGCCGTCTTCCTTTAAAGACATAAGTTAGCGTCAGGGCCCACGCTACTCCAGTATGACCTCATCTTAACTAATTACGTCTGGAAAGAGGCTGTTTCCAAATAAGGTCACTTTCTGCAGTACCTGGGGTTTGGATTTCCACATCTTTTTGGGGGGCTGTAGTTCAGCTCGTAACAGCAGGGAAAGGAGAGGGGGCTGGGAGAGAGTCGAGCCACTGGCGCCTGAGCAGGAGTTGATGACACCGGGTGGCTCACGTAATTAGAAGACGCTGGCCGTAGTCCCAAGCCAGCCCTGAGCTGACCTCCCGGGGTAGCTGGTAAAGATACTAAAGCTCCAACAGGCAGAGGGGATTTTTTTTTCCCCCAGTAGGTAAGGGACCAAACGTCTCACATGACTTGGGTCTCCTGGGTCTTTTTTGAAGTTTCACTTATTGGCCAGTGACCTTAGCCATATGTTCGCGGATCATTTAACACCCTTAGCGTCTGGCTGGCGTTCCTTGCCAGACTTAGCACTATGTCCTTGCCCTCAAGATGGCTGACTTAGTGTCTTCTGGTCAGTATGCTCCCTGTCCATACTCCTGAAACCCTCCAAGAGCCTAGAATCCAGGGAAGAGCTGAGCACATAGATTATTTCTGATCGGGAAGGCCCTTTACAACCCAGGCAAGTGGATCCCGCTCTCCGTGAGACCAGTTGAGTCCAGTCTGGAAGAGTTGGCTGGGGCTGGAGGACTGGTCAGGGTGCCGGAGAGGAGCCGCGTGTGCCCTTGTTGAAAATAGAATTTAAAGTGGTCCTCTTCCGACCTGCTGCTGGGCTGGGGTGAGACCGGGCAAGCCAGGGGACTGACTGAGGCCAGGAAGAAGTGACCGCAGTTTTCCACTTCCTTCTTGACGGTGCTCAGGCCGTTTCTGGCCTCGAAGACGTAGGTGCTAGTTCACCAAACCCCGTGCCAGGAATTCTGCCCAAACCTTCGTCCCTCAGCACGACCACTTGATTTCTCCAAGTTGCCTGGGGGTGCGTGGGCCTGGAGGAGCCTTTTCCTGGAGACCTTATGTGGCCGTGGGAATGATCGAGGGGGAGTCTATACAGAGACTGCAAAGCTTTGCAAGTGAGCAGACCATTTTACCTACTCGGTTTGGATATTCTGAGTCACAGAACGATTTGCCTCGTGCTGTTTTCTCTCTGGGAGGCCTTCGAACCTTGGCATTTGGGAGGCAATGCCCGGCGTTTGGGAGACGGGAGTGTCGGGAAATGCTCCTGCCGGCCCGGTCACCAGAGCCTCTTATCAGAGCTTCCTGACTTTCTCCCGAAGGGGGGGCCCGCCTTCCGCTTGTTCGTCTTGAAGTTAGTATCTCACCTGTGGTATCGCTGAGGTTTAGAGAGTACACGTCCTTTCTCAAGGACAACAGGATGGACTTTTGGTGAGACGTGGGATCACGTCTTCTGGAGAGGGTTTGGGATTGGAGAGGGTAGTGGAATTAGAGTAAAACACAGAACCCTAGGATGCCCGTCTCTGCCAGCCTCCTTCCCCCTGCCCCGGGGTGTGCAAGAAAGACCTGGTGTCCTATTTGACCCAAAGTCAGACTTTGGCCTGATTGGACACTACATTGTAGTAAAAGGGATTCCTCAATTATATATGATAGCTAGTGTAAGACAGGAAGAAAAATCTAATTCAGTCAAAGGGAAGGGAGTGTGCGTGAGGCTCCATCGAAGCAGGAAGTCTGAGGAGGACTTTGGAGTCCCGTGGCTACCAGGTGCTTCTGGAGCGAGTGGGGTCAGGAGCCTAGAGCCAGACTCCCCTACGCAGATGCCAACACCTACAAAATGCGATTTGAAGGCCCGCTCCTGAAATTCCCACGTTGTTCGCTGCCTTGGGTTAAAGCACTGGTCCCCGCCTTTTTCAGTTTCTGTTATTTGAGAAATATTTCCTCAGTGCCTACTCTGTGCTATGCAGTATTACAAGTACTTAGTAACAGCAGGGAAAAAGAGCCTGGGTCGCTCCTTATGTGGGAAGGTGATGGGGGACAAGCAAGTTCGAGAGCATACCAGATAAAGTCAGGGGCGGTCCGGGCTCTGAGGTGATGACTCGGGGGGGTGGGGGGGGAAGCAGGCAGGTGGGGGTGGGCGCCGGGGGGTTAAGTCAGGAAAGGCCTCCCTGGGGAAGAAACAGGTTAGTGACATGATCTGGTTTCCTTTTTTTTTTTTTTTTTTTTTAATGTTCATTTATTTTTATTTATTTTTGAGAGCGAGAGAAAGGGAGGGACGGAGAGGGAGTGGGGGGGACAGAGAGAATCCCAGGCAGGCTCCATGGGGTCAGCGCAGAACCCGATGCAGGGCTCCAACTCACACACCGTGAAATCAGGACCTGAACCAAAATTCCGTTTCCTGGAATGGTGAGTCCTGGGACAGAGCCGGTTCACTGTGTAAATCAAGTGTTCTACTTTGGGCCTGTAAGATCTGAGATGGCATCCAAGTAGGCAGATGAACACAGGAGTCTGAAGTTCAAGAGAGAACTCGGGGTTAGATTCACCTGGGGTTGTAGGTGGTAATGACTTCTGACAGCAGCTCCCTGGAATTAGACCAGACTTCCCAGGTGAAGTGCCCTCCTCCACGAGACTGCTCTGACTTCAGACACCAGCTGCAAATTTGAGGGTCCCCAACCCACTCACTTGTGACCATCTGGGTACAAATTCAGGGGTTCCCATTAGCCCCTGGGGTTTAGTTCACTAGAACAACTCACAGAACTCAGGAAGACATCTATACTCATAGTTAGTTTTATTAGAGCAAAAGGATTCAAATCAGAACTAGCAAAAGGAGAGATCCACAGGACCAGTTCTGGAAGGGTCCTAAACATTGAAGCTTATGGAAGCTTATGTTGTCTGCTCCCTGTGGGATCAGGAGTGTCACCATCCCAGCACAGTGATGTGTGACAATACACAGTATGTATTGCCTATTAGAGAAGCTCACTGAAGCTTCTGTGTCTAGAATTTTTACTGGAGTTTCTTTGCATACTTCTGATTGACTGAACCACTGGAGGTGAGGTTGAGGTCGTTCTCCAGCCTGTCCCCTCTCCAGTCGTGGGGACGGTCTTACTGGCATAGGCAGCCCAGATCCTGAGTCATCATTTTTTGGCATCCACTATCTAGGCACTCACCACGAATTGCCTCATTAGCATAACACCAGAGCCTACCTTGAATAAGAAAGACACTCCTTTCACCCTGGAAATTCCAAGGATTTAGAGGCTACCTCCTAGGGACCAGGGACAAAGGCCTGCTAAATTATTATACATAGGTTATTTTAAAGGCTGGGGACTCTAAGAGATCTAGGGAGAGCGTAGACAAAGAATTAAAGAGGCACGAGGTGTGAGCCTGGAGGAAATCCAGAGGCTAAGAGAAGAGACTCTCGAGGGAGGGTTAACTACAAACACAACGAGGGCCTGAATATGCAGGACCATTGGATTGGCCATTGGATTGGGCAACTTGGAGGTTGTTGATGACCTTGAAAAAGTTGTTTCAGCGGGGAGAGTTTGAAAGAGATCGGTAAAAGCAAGGGTAGATAACTCTTCAAGAACATTGGTATGAAAAGGACCAAAGATGAGGTGAGATGGGGTAGCGGAGCCTGGGAGCACATGGTGTCCGGGGAGAATGTTCTCTTAAATTGGGAGATATTGGACCACCGTGCCTAGTAGGCTGTTCTCCACTGCTTTAGACCCCTGATTGAAACTGCCCTCAACAACGAAGACATTTATTCCACTACGTAACTAAGGCAGTTGAGGTTCAGCCTCAGGTTGATTCAAGGATGAAGCTACGTTATCCGGGACCTGGGTTCTTTCCAGCTCTTTGTTCAGCCTCCTTGGAATGGCTGGAGCAAGATGGGCACAGCTCTTCCAAAGCAGTCACATCCAGACCAGAGGGAAAGGAAAGGCCATCTCTTTTCCTACACTCGAAGGAGTGAGGAAGCACCCAGAAGCCTCCTCCTCACGTGTCATCGGCCAGAACGAGGTCACGTGCCTAAGTCTGAATTCATTACTGGCCAGTGAGGGCGGGAACAACAGTTCTCAGGCTGGCGGCTGGAAGAGGTGGGATGTATGCCCCATAAATCAGGGCACGCTGAGAAGTAGAGTAGGGTGACAGGCTGGGTGGGGGCCCCTTTTGAGATCTGTGCAATTTTTGCCAGCCATCTTCAGCTGCTCAAGCATGGTTGCTGTGTTCGGGTTCCCCAGGCAAGCAGAGCAGAGGCATAAAGGGTGTTTCGTGGCCCAGTGACCCCGGTGCTGACCACGGGAACTAAGCTGGGTCAGCAAGGGAGGGCAGAGGGGAGCGGGTGCATGATGGGAAGGTGAGAGCAGTGGATTGATGCACACACCGAGTTGGAAGAATTATCAGAGTAGAAATTAGGACTGTTTCAAGTTGGGTTTCCTGGGAAACAGGCCCTGAAATGGAGGCTTAGGAGGGGCAGAGAGAGAGGGAGACAGAGAATCCCAAGCAGGCTCCACACTATCAGCGTAGAGCCGGATGCGGGGCTTGAACTCACGAACCACGAGATCATGACCTGAGCCAAAATCGAGAGTTGGAGGCTTAACTGACTGAACACCCTCCCTACACCCCCCCCCTCCCCCCCCGCCCCGTTGTCTGGTCAGTTTTGATGGGGATAGAGATGGCAGGCTGGGCCCAGTGGTCCGGGCACTGTGCTGCTGTTCAAGTCTGAAGGCCAGTGGCTTGAAAGAAACACGACTGAAAATGGCCGTGTGGTTCTGGTCTGGTCCCCACTCCCTGCATTCCATTTCTGCAGGCCCCCAGACAGGCTTTCGCCTTGGATAAGTTCTAGTAAATTCTTTCCCTCTGGTCCAGAGATTCTGCTTAGATAAATTAGCATCAAACATCAGAATGCGGTTGTTTTCTTATTTCCTGGCAATTCGGCCTTCCAACGTGACTTCCGCATAGCCCAGCCCCCACCCCCACCCCCCCCTCCCTGCCCCTGCTTTCTGCAGGTGTTTCCTCTCCTAACTGAGTGCCACCTGCTGGACCTGCTTCTGGTGCTCTCCAGCCAGCGGGTGGCTTTGGGCATGTCAGAGGGTCAAGGAGCCCCGGAACCACAGGGAACATGCCCCCTGCCCTTGCTCAGTCCCCTCATTTTTTCGGAGAAGCTGAGGCCCAGATAGCCGCAGAGGAAATCCGTTAAGGGCCTGGGCCCCTCTCAGGGAGGGTGTGCGGGGGGAAGGGGGGGGGAACCCCGGACAGAGCGCCATCAGCATGTCACTTCTCCCTGTGTCCTCCTCTGCAGGTGACAGCCTGCTGCTGGTGAAGAACCCGCCCCCCGCCCCGCAGCAGCCGCAGCAGCCGCAGCCGCAGCCGGCTCCGCCGAGCCTGGCGGTGCTCCCGGCGGCCGAGACGGGGGCGGGCGGCGGGCCCCC